TAAGTGTACTTTTGATCCTCTTTATCTATTTTACCCAGCCCCCCATAAATAATGGATTCAATTTCATTTGATTCAAATTGCTTCTTAAATTTGTGACTTGAGGGATCCCTGGGTGGCGCAGCGGTTTGGCACCTGCCTTTGGCCCAGGGCGCGATCCTGGAGACCCGGGATCGAATCCCATATCGGGCTCCCGGTGCATGGAGCCTGCTTCTCACTCTGCCTGTGTCTCTGCCTCTCTCTCTCTCTCTGTGACTATCATAAAATAAAATAAAAAAAAATTTGTGACTTGATGGCTTTCATTATTTTTATAAACTTTTATCCATTATCCTTTCAAATATTGCTTCTAATTTTTCCCTTCTTAAACATTGAAACTTTAAGGACACATGTTAGAACTTCTTACAATATTACTTATATCTCATAGACTATATTTTTTCTCTATCTTTTTCAGTTGCAGTTTGGTTATTCTCTTTTAATGTATATTTTGGGTTTTCAATCTTCTCTTCAGTTGTATGTAAGCTTTCAGTTTCTAAGTTTATATTTTTGCATATTTTAGTTCAAAGATATTTATTACATTCTTCATTATAATTTCCAGTTCTTGGCTGATATTATACAAATATTTCATTGTCACATTTAGTTACTGTAAAGTCTCTAATAACAAGAATATCTGATTTTCTCTGTGATTTTTTTTTCTGATGTCTATTTTTTCCTTTGCACGTTGGTCATATGGCCTTCTATCTTCATAGACCATTGTGTGTTACTTTGATACTCTAGAGTTGTTAAGGTCCCATGGAGTAATTCCTATTTTGGCAGGCAGTTAGCATGAGGGAAGATCACTTTGACCCAATTAGGGATTTAGCTGACTTGAAGCTAGACTTCAGTATTTAAGAAGGCTAGTTTCTTCCCAGTTTCTCTGTATTGTTAGGATATAAATCTTCAGGCATTTCAACTGAAACCTTGAGTGTTTCACACAAACCCCTTTTCCATTGTGGATCTTGCAGCCCAGTTTTCCCTTCCCAAGAAATTGTGATAGCAGGAAATGCTGTTCATTTCCTAAGCCTCTCAGACACAAGTTTTTCTTCTATTTCTCTGCTTTTCAACCACTACTTGCTTTGGCGTATATAAAGGGGGCAAGCAGCAAGTCTATGTCAGATATCTCTACATTTTTTTCTTTGGGATCTTAATGCTTCCAGTGCTCATTACCCTTGTAGTTCTCTGATACCTTAAAGAGATGTTTCTTTTTTTTTTTTTTTTTTTTACATTGTCTAGCTTTTCTGGTTGTGTTTGACAGAGAGATTGCTGGACAAATGCTGGTAGGTCCTTGACAGAGTGACAAATGCATGTGTAATACTACCACTAGTGTCTTTACATTTTAATTTATTTTTAATATTTATTTATTTATTTATTTATTTATTTATTTATTTATTTATTATAGTCACAGAGAGAGAGAGAGAGAGAGAGAGAGAGAGAGAGAGAGGCAGAGAGGCAGAGACACAGGCAGAGGGAGAAGCAGGCTCCATGCACCGGGACCCCGACGTGGGACTTGATCCTGGGTCTCCAGGATCGTGCCCTGGGCCAAAGGCAGGCGCCAAACCGCTGCACCACCCACGGATCCCGTGTCTTTACATTTTAAAAGTGAATTCTAGTGGGGAGCAAGTGGAGGAAAATAGAATGAAAGAAGGATAGAGATAACCTCAGGGACACTGATGGCAAAAAGTAATGATATTCTGTGAACTAGGAGTTGATGAAGCATTGCTGAAAAATCTATTTTTATTTAACTTCTTTTGGCACAAGTGAAGAGTAATTTTAACTTGTTTGGTAGTTTATGGAGCTTGAAAGAAATATTCATTTTGGTTTTATTCTGTTCCTAATTTATTACCTAAAAATTCTTCATCAGAATTTAGCTTTTTATCCATTTCTATGCAGCTTCCTTTTTATTTGGGACTAAAACTATTTTGACAATATTACCATTTTTCTGTTTCTCTTGGCTTAATTTTCAGCTTCATTTGAGTCTTGAATTCTACTCAATTTTTTATAGATTTGAGGAAAGGAATACAGGCTTCATTCCTATTAATCCCCTCAACTTTTTTTCTACTCTGGATATTGTATATTACAATTTTGTTTAAGTTTTTAGTATTATGGGTTTGGAAGTAAATTCATCTTCCCATGTGTTACTATCATCAGGACATTATCCACATATTTGTCCATTATAATCTAGGACAGCACTATCCAAATAAAACTCAGTTCTACAATATGGTAGGGACTAGGCATATGTGACTATCGAACTCTTGACAAGAGTATAATCCTATGATGACGTTGATATTTTTACTTTTTAAAATTTTAACTAATTTAAAATTTAAATATCCACATAGAGCTAGTAGCTACCATATTATACAGTGCAGATAGAAGACTTATGTAATTAACTTAGGTAAATTTATCTCCAGAATCCAAATTACTGCACAAGAATGGCTAATTTTAACAATTATAATTTTTTTAAGGATTTTATTTATTCATTTAGAGAGAGAGTGTGTGAGTGGGGAGAGGGGCAGTGGGTATAGAGAATCTCAAGCAGACTCAGTGCATTGAGTGCAGAGCTGACATAGGGCTCAATCCCATGACTCTGAGATCATGATCTGAGCTGAAATCAAGAGTTAGTCACTTAACTGACTGAGCCACCCAGGTGTGCCTTTATAAAATGTATTTTTAAAGAAAAATTGTTTAAAAATATTTTAATATGGGGCATTTATCTCTTCATATTAATAAAATGGCAGTCATTAAATGAGAAATTTAACTGTTAAGTGATTTTACTATTCTTTTTTCGCAAGCCATAAAATGTCTTTTAAAAAATAAGACCTCAAAAAAAATAAGACCTCTTATGCCCTTATGTATGAGTTTATCTTTAATTTATCTTATAATTTATCTTTAAGTTATAGATTTATACTATTTTTTTCTTTCAGTAATCATTTCAGTTATAAAAATATCACTTCCCACAGAATAGTTTTGCTTACTATAAGGAATTGGGAGTCAAATAATATTTGATTAAGTATTTATTACAACACTTAACTTTTTCATTAGTCATATTCAATTCCTAAATCCTTGTATACAGTGTGTTAATGTCCATTTATGTTATACAATTGAGAGTCTGTAACTGATAAAAGTAATAACTTTGGGCAGTTTGAGGAAATTTAATAAAAAATAGATTAGTAGTTTCTAGTGTATTTAGGGAAAGGAGTTATCTATACTACTTTGACATTTTTCTAACTTACCAATGATCTCAATTTTTCATTTGCTTTTAGTAAAGAGTAAATGATTTTAATGGAAATGGAAGACATTGACATTCAGAAAAACTAGATATCACTTTTACTATGCATTGTGGAATATCATCTCTTTCTATATTGCTTATTAGTGCCAGTGTGAAGATTGCTACCATAATGATACAAATGCAATTAAAATCTAGGAAAAATAAGTAGTAGATTTGTACTGCAAAACCATAATAATAAATACTAAGTTTTAACATATATAACGTGGAAATTTGTCATTAGATTAAAAACTCAGTGCTAATTAATAGTTTATCATTATAACTAATTCGATTTATTGTAATTTACTTGGCTAGGAATAAAAGCCATTCCTCATTTTTGCACTACACCCAGCTTGCTTTATCTCTGTTTAGCCTCCTAGACTACTAATTGCATCTTTGAAAGCTAAGTGGTTGCTCTTCAGGTCTTTCACTCTTATGTTATTCATTAAAAATTTCCTAAAATATTCAGAACTTTTCTCTCTTCAAGTCACTGTTCCATTGTTCTATTTCCACCCTAACAAAACAACATGCTTCCTCTTTTACTTAGAAGAATGAGTCAAGTTAACAGAAGTTTTATCAACTCCCCACCTGTGTACTTCATCTTTCTAAGCTTCTAGAAATGTTTAAATACCTTAGAATCCCAGATATTTTTATTGGTATTGAGGTCATGAAGATGAATGGTCTTAAGGAGCTCATGGTCCACTGTAGGAAATGAACAAGAGACAAGTATAGAATGAGATGTATGTTATAGCAGGGGATGGAAATGTATATTGTTGGGGTGAGAATAGCTGAATCTCCGTGAATTTTCATGCAGTGGTAAGAAAATGGTAAGAAATCTTCTGTGGCTATATCACGTTGTTTAGGATGAGTAGGCAGGTTTTTATTTGTTTTTTACTTTGAGGACAATGACTTAACTCTTCAAACATGCATTCCTTTTTTGACAGACAGACCATGGAGACCTTGAGACATTGAGAATGAAAGAAAACAATCATTCTATCAATGAACCACCAATAGTGTCAACCCAATTCCATTTGTCTATTTCATCCTTTCTATTCTGTGGCATGGTGCTCCATGCCAAATAGTCTTCATCTCTTAGTAACTTTATATTCCTTTTGATAAGAGTCTTTTTGAACTGGAAGGCCACATTTATTTACATTTAAATAACCTGTTTTTCCTGTGTTCCTTGGGATAGGGTAAATATGTGCTTGAAAGCAGAGTAATCTTTACCAAAGAAATGCACCAAAATGAACAAAAAACATCATATTTATGAGCTTATTTGTTGCCTTAGCAACTCAAGAGTATATTTTTGTGTATAGACTTTAGTAGAATATAGCAATCAAATGTGGAACTAAAATTAGCAGAGGTGATGTCAAAAAGGAAAAAGTTTTTTTTATCTTTGATCATTATTAGATCAATATGACAGTTGTATTACAAAGATCATCTCAGTTGCTCTTCGCAAAACTGAGAAACTCTAGCTGTGAATTCTTTTGAAGCACTTTTCTTCAATGCTGTGATGTGCACTTGGTTACATTTGGGTCAACACAAATAATCCTTCTCACCATTCTGTAGCATGATATTGTGATAATATAGCTATTGTCCTTTGACAGAATTAATGTGGTTAGATTCTAGAATGTTTAGAGGGTGAGGATGAAATTATATTTGTTTTCAAGGAATAATTTCAATTTATTCTCCCTCTCATATTCAGATTCAAAACATTATTTGTGGCTGGAGAACGATGTGATGTGGAGACCCTGGAATGGTCCAAAAAGGCCTTCAGAGTACCTGTCCTAGACCACTGGTGGCAAACTGGTGAGCATTCTCCAAGCATGTACATAAATATTGTGGAAGTGTTCAGCAACACCGCAAGGACTAGAGAAAATTCTGAACTATGACCATCAGGCACAAACTCAGGACTTAGGTAGTTTGGTTTCAGTAGAAATAAGCAATTCTTTGGTTATCCTTTTGTTGAAAATGTCTCTGTACATAACATTGATGACACCATTCTCCTAGTCCCTGGGTATAAAGTACTGAAGACCTTTGTTCCTTCTCCTCCTCTTTGCTTTGCCTCTACCCAGTAAGTCACTAAATCTCAGATTTTGTTTTGAAGTGTCTGTTGAATTCACACCACCCCGGTATTCTCATTGTCTTTGAGCTGTAGCAGCTGTATTATTATGTGCCCTGCTTTAAATTCTCCTTATCGGTCACCTCTGTTCTCTCCACTCTCCTGTACACCCTGCACACTGTTCCCAGAGTACTTTCTTTTAAAGCACCATTTCTCTCCTAAGATTTTGTGTGGTTTTATGACTCCCTTGTTGTCTTCCATCAAATCAAATCTCTTCTGCCTAGCATTGAAGACAGAGAAGTGTATCTTCTTTCCAAAACATTTATCATTATATATATATATATATATATATATATATATATGATTTATTTATTTAATTATTTTGTTTATTCTCTATTTTCTTCCCACTAAGTGATCCTTGGGAAACAAATTGTCCTGTTAGGTGGATATAACATAAAATCTGTTACAAAATTTTTTAAAAAATGCCTCTGTGCTACTTGTTTTGGGGCATAATTGTGTATATATGTGAAAGGAAGTAGATTATCTAGATTATCTGTTTTCCCCATCACTAAGTGTAGAGATTTTGTTGGGTTTTCCATTTGACCTACTAAAAGTGACTGTGAGCTATGAGAACCTTGTGGCCTTCCTATGTACATATTTTAGTTCAATTCCACTTGGTTCAAAAAATTCGATCAACCTTTTTAATGTTTTCAGAATTGTCATCTTCTAAGTAACTGGGGTGGAGTATCAAATTTGAATAAAAAACATTAATAAAGTTTCTTCTCAAAAAGTCAGCTTGATTTTAAAAATAATTAGAGTGTAAAAGATCAAGTGAGTGACTAAAACTGAAGTTCAGTGTTTAGTATTTTAGAATTTTTTGATGCTAATAAATTATGCTTTTACATCATCTTCTTGCATATTGCTCCTTGGAGAAACATGGTTTCCATATCCACTATAACACAAAATGTAAAATGAATGAGTGATAGAGTGAAATACAGGTTCCTCTGAATACAATGCAAATCAGAAAGAGTTTCTAGCCTCTCTAGTTTATTTGCCAGGGGAGACATTTCTTATCTAAATTCAGATCTGTAACTATTTAGGAAATAAAAAAGAGAAGACCGAATTCAGAGAAAGAGCAGTGCCATATGTAAAAACACTTAAAAACAAGTGAAGAATCATTGCCTCTGCAAAGAAAAATATTTATAGATTTGGGGCATACCCTATTCACCAGAAAAGTCCTAACAGTTATTCTCTTAGGCAGGAAGAGAAAGCTATCTTGTCGCTTTTTTTTTTTTTTTTTTTTTATTATCTTGTCACTTTTAAGATGGTTTTCCTTTCCTGGTCAAAGCGAGGGGTTGTTTCCAACACAGTGACCTTGCACAAGTGCTTGCAGAGGGGTTTTGTTTTCCCTCCATTAAAGATGACTAGGCCACAGCTTACTGAAGGAAACCAGCACATTAATAAATGATACTATGATTCTCCCCCTTTTTCTTAATATTATTGTACGTAATGCCTGTGCCGACGGATGTAGTTAGTGCGTCCAGGCTTACAGAAAAGCTTACTGACGCCTGAGAAGCAAGCGTATGAGGTCCCTGGTGGGTATGGAGTTTCATGTGAATTTGCAGTTTTTCTTTAATGTTTCGTTCAGGGAAAATTAATAACCACATCATGTCAGGGTGCTGTGCTGTCAGTTTAATCAGGTTTGAATAGCTGCTCAATACTGTGGAAAACACTGTGGATTTCTACTAATAACGACTGACTCTTTCCACCCCCTCCCATCTGACTTTACAGAATTTGATATTGTGTCCAATTAAAGTACACAAATACCTACATGTGGAGAGGTAGGTAGTAGCCCGCTAGGTAGGTAGTTTTATACTTTATAAAAGAAATCCATCCTAGGTGATGCAGATTTGTCAGCTACTAACAAAATCTAGTTCGAATTTTTATTCAGTTGTCTAGAAGAAATCAATTCATTATTTTCAAAGTTGTAGGTTGTGATAAGTACTGCAAAGCGATACCAAAGTATAATATTTTCAGCCAAACACCTTTCTTGAGGGGATATCACATTAATGTTAAATCACCAGGGGGCGGGGAAGGCAAGTACTTTGTGGGTTATTATTGACTCTAGGAAAAAGAAAGGAAAATTCGATATTACTGGTACAGTCATGAACTTCCTAATGTTTTATTTATTTTTTTTAATTTATTTATGATAGTCACACACACACAGAGAGAGAGAGAGAGAGAGAGAGAGAGAGAGGCAGAGACACAGGCAGAGGGAGAAGCAGGCTCCATGCACCGGGAGCCCGACGCGGGATTCGATCCCGGGTCTCCAGGATCGCGCCCTGGGCCAAAGGCAGGCGCCAAACCGCTGTGCCACCCAGGGATCCCCCTAATGTTTTATATATCAAACAGATGAGGGTACATTTCCACATGAGGTATGCCAACCAAAACCTCATAACATTTGAAGGAATGTTAAGCTTTGGCCAAAGGAATACTCTTCATTTCAACAGGTTTTCTACAAGATCTTTTTTCTTTTTACTGACTTCGAAATTGATTTTTTAACATAATCATACACTTTTATGAGCCTTCCATACAATGTATAATTTATGAGTTCACTCTCTGATTACATTAATATATGTGCACAAATGAGCTGTTTCAAAATGGTGATGTATGATTTGGAATTAATTAGGGATATGTTAAGTAACTAAAATGTATGAATAAAAATTGATTAATTCCTGTGACCTGAGTTATAAGTAGGCACTCTGCAGTCAATCCAGTTCATTACCATGTTGTTTTTGTTACATAAGTGAAATTTGTATTAGTGACAACAGATTTCTAGTGACTGACATCCTCTTTTGGCCTCTTAATATCAAAACTCTTTAATATCTGATTTATATACTATCTAAGATTCTAAATTGAGAACTAATCTGTGGAAAATTTGAGAACTGATCAACTCCTTGTGGGAGCATTTCCATAAAGACTACCGTTCAGCATGACTGGAATATTAAGTGCTTGTTTTGGATTGTCATAATGCAAACATTATGTGCTTTCAGAAAGAAAATTCGTCTTGCTAAATTTAGATAGGAGGGGCTGTATCCACTTAGTTCATCAATCTGGATAAAAGATAAATTGTCACTTATCCAGATGTTTTATCTTCCCAGCAACTTCTCCATAAAATGACTGAAAACATCTGGATTATTGACTGAAGTTTTCATTTCCTTTTGTACTTAGTGAAATAATTTTAAAAGGGGAAATTAAGAGAATAGATAATTGTCCCATTAAGATATGATAATTCATGTACAAAAAGAAAATAATAAACAGCCAGAACTTCATTATCATCAGGTGTACAATCACCAGATAAAACCCTGTACTGTTATTAATCATTTTTAGCTTTTCCAGAAATCAGACACAAAACAATTTTAGGAAGAAAGAACTGTCTGTGCAGTGCATGGAGTCCTTCGCTGTAAGGTTTTTTGGGGTTTTTTTTTTTTTTTTTGGTCTTTTCTGGTTGAAGAGAACTATAAAGGAATTGTTTTCCTTATGAATGAATGACCAAGTTAAAAAGTTAAAAAAAAAAAAAAGCTTCCTTAAATTTCAGAGACTAACTTTTAAAACCCAAAACATAGTAGACCTTATTCTTTTCTGAGCTTTTCTACATTTCCTTTCCTCTCCACTCCTTACTGTTTACTGTTAAGCTATGATACTGGTTTAGAAATGATTGTAACCAAGCAGCTTGGCATCCCACTTTTTAGTGTTATTTAGGTAGAAACACTAGTTCTTCAAATGCCATGAGTCAGTTAATTAAAGACACCGACTGTGAGATTAGAATCCTCCAGTTCGATGAAGGCTTTTATGAAGAACAACTTGATAAAGGGTTGAGATGAAAGGAATCCATGATTCTTCCCACCTGCCACTAGAATATTGTCTTTGTGGTTCCCCTCAGAAGATACAGAGTTGACGTTGAAAGTGTTCCCAGTACCTTCTGCCCAAGTAGAGATGAAGTAACAGAAATGACAGAAGAGCTGCCGACTTAAGCAGCAACGGGGTGATTTTGTTCGCCTATTTGTTTTGTTCCTATCACTTAAATAGGGGAGTAAGATCCCTCATAGAATTTCAAAAACCCTAAGGAGGGATTTCAATGAGAAAACAGTGGTCACCTAATGGATTGAGACATTGGTGACAATAAGTTATTGATCTTATTTTATCTGCCTTGAGCCATCTTTGCTGAGTTCTTATGTCTTAGAGTAATCACACTATTTCTGTCTCTATTTGATTGAACTGCTGCAGTTTTAATTGCAGTTGCCAGTTCTGAAGTCCCTATATTCTATAGATAGCCTAAATCCTCCTTCTCTGGGAAGGAATCTGATAATTCTAGATTTGATTAAAGTGGCTCCAGATCCTCCAGCAAACTTCATTCATGACAGTTCAAAATCATTGATCTTAAAAGTACACACACCCTAATACCATCTTATTAAAATGTGTCAAGGCTACTTGACATGATAATCCTTGTTTTTGGACAATTTGGTAGGATGTACTTCCTAAGAACAGACAACTTGTACAATAGTTTTAACCACAAAAATTGGTTAGGCTAACGCAATTGAGTCTGTATCCTCAGGTTTATCCAGACGAGATCCTCTAGCCCAGGATTTTTTAAAGACGGCAATATATTTTCTTTACAAAAACAAAATTGAAAAATTAATTACAGTTTAATAGCAATTATCCTGAGCAGGGATCTCTGTGGGAATGG